TCGGGTTGGTCTGACATGGCCTGCCCCTAATGAAACTGTACTGGTTGCCCTTGAGCATCATCCCTGAAGCCGGCCCATTGCAGATGTGCTCCTTGGTGATCTTCTCAAAGAGTTTCCCTAGGATTGAGGTAAGACTAACGGGCCTATAATTGCCTGGGTCCTCCCTCCTCCCTTTTTTAAAGATGGGGACCACGTTGGCTATCTTCCAATCATCTGGCACCTGGCCCGAGCACCATGAGCGCTTGTAAAGCCGTGCCAAAGGCCCTGCAATAACCCCTGCTAGCTCCCTCAGCACCCTGGGGTGGAGAGCATCTGGACCCGCTGATTTGAACACGTCCAGCCCCTCCCGAAGCTCTCTGACCTGGTCCTCCCCAACCTGAGGTCTGGAGGCATTCCCCTCGAGTCTGTCTTGCATCATGGTGGGGAAGTCCTGGTCCCTGCACAAGAAAACGGAGGTGAAGAATTGGTTAAAGATGGGGAGAAAGAGCTAGGAATGTTGGCAAAGCAAAGGCAGAGAGAGATTGTCACAAAAATCTAGGACAGTTGGTAGCCTGGGGCTAAGTAGTGAGTGACGTGGCTGTTCACTTGTAGAGCCAATTGAATGTTTGAGGTGTGAAGTCTTAGAAATACGGAAAGTGATTCTTTTGCTCTATTCAACCAGCCCTTGTGAGGCCTCACCTGGATTACTGTTTAGTGTTGGGCCCTACACTTCAGGTATGTGGACTGATCTGAAGAGGATGCAGCGTAGAACAACAACAACGATTAGGGGACTGGGAAGCAAAACTAATGAGGAAAAGGCTGAAAGAAGTAGAGTTATTTAGTCTGGTGAAGAGAAGACTGAGAAGGGTTTTGATTAGTCTTCAAATACCTGAAAGGTGATTTATAGAGAGGATGGAGATGGGCTTTTCTCTAGCTACAAAGGACAGCATAAGGAGAAATGACCTCCAGCTGCTGTAGAGGAAACTTTGGTTGGAGATTAGGAGGAACTTTCTGACTGTGAGGGTGGTCAGGCATTGGAATAGGCTGCCTAGAGGAACTTTTGTGGAGTCTCCATCCTTGGAAATTTTCAAGAGCAGGTTAGACACTTGTCTGTTGCCTCTCTAGTCCACCACCCTCCCCCCTCTACAACGTCTTTCCCCAACTTCCCCCTGCCTTCTATGCAGCCTCTGTTTCCCTGTCTGTCTGCTGCATCCCCCATACTGTTGCCCCATGGCAGCAGGCTCCATCCATGCTGCAGCCTGAGGCACTGAGCATGGCCCGACCCTATAGCAGTAGTATGCAGTCCCCACAACTGTTACTTGGGTTGGGTTGGGGCTATGCTCAGTGCCCCAAGCTAGAACAAGGGTGGAGCCTACTGACATGGAGCAAATATATAAAGGGGGGAAGATGAGGCTTGGGAAGAGGAAAGAGGGCCTGGGGCAGGGTGGGCACAAGTTGCCTGACCTCATAGCATCTGCCCCCCCTACAGTGGTGGAGGGAATGAATTAAAGACAATCCTCCAGTAATTAGATTCTGTACATGGAAAATGAGAACAAATTTATACATTTTCCATGTACAGAATCTAATTACTGGGGGGAGGGGGTCATCTTAAATTCAGGGTTGTCTTAGATTCAAGTAACTGGAGGTTAAGTGCTTAATTAAAGATCAGAATAAGAAAAATGCTGTGCACCTGATAATTCCACTGTTACAGCTGATACTTTCTTAAAGTACAGAAGCATTCAGGTTGTTAGCTTCTCATTCACTCTTTACATTTTTCAAGTACAAGGACAGAAGCTTTTGTGAATAAAAATTTAGCAGTCTCTAACTTGACAGTTGGTCAGGAAATGAATATTTTCAGTCCTTCTTTCTAATAAGTATAGTTGACTAAAGTTGTAATTTGGATTTTACCTTTAGCATCCCATATACAAAACATTAGGTGGTGGTTTGACCTTTGCCTCTTAAGCAAGCTGGCTGCTGTGGGGAAGTAGCTGAATTGCAAGTACTATTTTCTTCATTAGTATTAGTACTCTCCAGTAGCTTCAAGTTAACTTTTTTCCTCTCAGATATTTGAATATGCACAGATATTTAAAAGTAGGGCTGTGCAAAGCTTCAGTTGCTGATTCAATTTGGCAGAAATTCATCCCAATTTGGTGCCCAAATCTCCGAATCTGAATTGAATCTGGAGATCCTTTAATTTCTCTGAATCGATTTGGGAAGATTTGACAAGGCAGACACAGAAACAACTTTAAATGTTTTTTCTACATACCTCAAGGTAACCAGGCTTGGCTTATGAATGCTGCGATGCTGGGGCAGATGGAGTCCACAGGAGCACGAGGGGTTCCCCAGCACACTCGGTACCAGACCCAGAAGTTGACCAGAAGCACTTCTGGATGTGCTGGGGAGCGTGCTGGAGGGCCCCCGCACACCTCCATGGCTTGGCAACTGGTGCCTCCTGGGTCTGAGGGGCCACCCAGGGTCCCCCAGCAGCCAATCGCTGAGCGGGTGGATGCTGGGGCAGGGGGGGGCCTGCATGCTTGGCAGTGGACTGGAAGTACTTCTGGTCCACTTCCATGTTCGCTGCCACGCATGTGGTGGGGGGAGGAAGGGAGGGGCCGCACTCCTGTGGGACGCTCCATCTGCCCCACCATCTCAGCATTCATGAGCCATGCCTGGTACCTTGCGGTATATAGAAAAAACATTTCAAGCTGTGTCTATGGCATAATCACTGATTCTCTGAATCAGCATCCAGTCTTCAGATTTGGCAGAATGGAATCGGGACAGTCATCCGAATCAACCAATTGAATCACTGTCCCCGATTCAGGTCGAATCCAAATCGAATGCAGCCCATTTTACACACCCCTATTTAAAAGATATAACATAAGGTGCAACTGAATTTACTTACTGTTTGTCACAAATAATCCTAATCAAAATGAAGCATATTAAAGTATTGCGGTTTATAGAGAATGTTATTATGCACTCCATCTCTTCCTAGATATTAAGAATGTAAGGGCTTCAAGGCTATTGGCTCTAAAAGTCTGCATGTATTTCCAGAGGTGGATGTGATATAATATGGTTGTTGGGTGAGTCCAGAGTGGGGTGGAATGGGGTGATCACAAACACCTTTGAGGTCTCCTGGCAGGAGCAGCAGCCAGGGACTGTTTCATGGCTTCTTGCACAGGGTCAGCCAGAGACAACTTGTTCCCCACCAGCCTGAGCGTGGGCTCAGTGAGGGGAAACCTGCACTCGCTGTCCCTAACTGAGCCCAGCTCCTTGGGTAGCCTGGCTGGAACAATTCTGAAACTTCCCCTTCCAAGGCCAGGGACAGCAGCAGCAGTGGACTGGGAGGTGCTACTGAGCACAGAGGGGAAGGGACGGGGTGCCAAGAGCAGAGGTGGAAGGATTCTTACCTGATTCTGGGCCTTAAAAGGTCTGTGGCTGCTGTTTTTGTGGCATGATCTGCCCATCCTGGTGGGAGGGGGAGCTGGGATGCAGCCACCTCTGCAGCACCAGTTGCTAACTCCTGTACCCCCTTCATGAAATCCTGGATCCACCCATGATGGTTATATTGAAGGCTGAACAATCGCTGACTGTCCTAAATTCCTTTTCTCTTTCTCCAGCATGTGCGTCTTTTGTCTCGCAAGCAGTTTCAGCTGAGGGCACTAATGCAGAAAGCAAGGAAGACTGCAGGACTCAGCGATCTCTACTGACCTCTCTGACTTTTAACTGGGAAGCTAGGGCTCCTTATGAAGCAGTCACTCTTGTTTTTCCTCTTAATCAGTAGCTGCCCAGAATAAATTATTACATCATTCAAGTGTAAGATATTTTGAATCAATAATATATTTTCTTTTTGGTAAAGACTAGCTTTTATTAATGCACTTTCTATTTCCTGTAACCTTTTGTGTTGGTGGACTTATTATGCTGAATAAAACTTGTTGCATATTTTTTCTTCCTCTAGAGAAGTTGTGTGTTGAATTCTTTTTTTTGCTTGTTGGTTTGTGCAGTTTTTAATTACCTGGTAAATGCTTTTCTACTATATTATTGAGATGTGGAAACCCCTTTCTTGACTTCAGAATGGGAAAGTCTTGGCATGCTCTTGTCTATTTTAAGTTTTATTATAACCACTGATAGCAGGTACTAAAGATACAAAGGCTTGTTTTCTGTCCTTGCTGTTATCTAGGGATTACAATTTCAGCAACAGTTATACTGACATCTAGCTAGCTGTTAGTCATATTGCTCAGTCTTTTTAAATGCCTAGAAAATAGAAAGCCTAGAATATAGTCTTAAAAATGAAATTGAAGAAAATTACTGTTACAGGTAAGGGAAAAAAGCCTGTTTTCAGTATGGATTGTATTAGATCTTAATAGAGGAAGAACAGAGTGCATAGCTGGGATGATCTAGTTGGAGATGGTCCTGCTTTGAGTAGGGGGTTGGACTAAATGACCTCCTGAGGTTCCTTTTAGCCCTAATTTTCTATTAGGTTGTCTGCTGGGGGTACTTAGGAAGCCCCCAGGGGGTATGCAGGGGCAGGTCCGGTTTTGCTGCTGGTGCTTCATTGACTGGCTGGGGGCCTCCTTGCTTCTGGACTGGCTGCCGGGGTGTACCAGCCAAAAAAGGTTGAAAAGCCCCGTTCTAAACTAAAGGTCAAACTTATGTCTTAATATCTGAGGTTAAGCTCCTAAATCTACGTTATTATATAGACATCTAATTAAAAATGTTTTGAAAGTACTAATGCTGTAGTTTTCCTTAACTCCAGTAACAGAACAGTAGTTACTGGGCCCACTAACTGGAGCTGCCAGTAGAAGAGTTATATCTTAAATTAATATTAAATAGCTGTGGCTGGAGGCAGTGTTGGATAAATAGAGTACTGAATGGCTTGGATTTTAAAACATTAAGATTTGCAAACATTTATGTGCTTTCAGAAGTATGATGTTTGAAGCATTATAAAAGACAGACAAAAAGGTAAGAGTTTGTAATTTATTTGGTGTGTAGGCTGGTACTACAGCTGGACATTTGAGGCTGCCTTGGTTGCATACAGAAGTCCTGGGTTTTTATTTTATTACATATCTAGGAAATGTTTATAGCTACTTTGGTACTGTACACAAAAATAAGGTTCTCTAGGAAGGATAAGCACAAAAACTGCTGAGAATACCTGCTAATAGGAAAAACTGGGAAGCTACCAGTCAGCAGGGAACACTGGTCAGAGTCTGCTTGCCAATGCTTTTTGATTACAAGAGAATATTCTTTGGCTTTGCAGTTGTGTAACAGTGTAAGAAGTTGCATGTTCTTCTGAACTGACATTAAGCTCTTAGCTGAGGGGGAAAAAGGCAAGGTGTTTGACAGGGCAGTGCTGCTTTACAGAATGCTGGATTTATTTTTCATCACTTAACGGTATAGGACTAGGTTGTGATCCACCTCTGGCTATAAACCTGGGCTTTGGTGAACAGGAAAAACCCTAGGATACATCTTCCAGCTCAAATATGAGCTCAGATTTCAGCTTTCTGTGTGTTTCTAATTAGTACATAAAAGGAGCTGACCTACTCAAAGTGCAACATAGATTAATTCACTAAACCCATTAGACTGTTAACAGTGCTAGGACATTACATTTAAAACTGCAGTTCCTTCTGGATTCCCCAAAGTGTATCTGCACTCTTCCTTAACTTCTCCTCCTCCTCGCTGTTCAGAGTCATCATCACTACGTCTGTAATGCCATGGTATCCCAACACACAAGGGACACTTAGGAAGACATCATCTTTTATTCCATACATGCCCTGAAAAGGAAGAAGGATATTACTTCATTTTCATTGTGACTGGATTCCACAGTTCCACACGCCTTGGGTTACAATATATTTTATAAGTAACAGGTTCACTGCTCTAGGCCAATGATGACAGCAGGACTGAAGTATAAGCCAGGGCTGTCAAACATCAAATTAGTGGCCTGAGAGAGGTTTAAATGCTGCCTACAGGTTCCTGCCCAGTGATCGCTTTGTCCAGTTCTCTGAGGGCAGCTGCTGGCATCTCCAGACTCCCCCTCCCTCCTTTGGCTTCTGGTTCCTGCCCACTTTCCTGCAGGCAAGGAGAATGTTGTGCATGTAGCAGGGGAGGGAGCCAGGGTCCCCAGCTGCCCAAAAGTTGGACAGCCCTGGTGTAAGCCAGGGAGAGGGGGCAGAGACAGCAGAAACCATCAAGTTAATTATTAGTTTGATTTGATCTGTATTGCAGAATAATGTAGTTGTGGGCATTGTTACCATTACGGGAATACATATTTAGGTCTTAAAAACAAACCTGTTGCTTTCATGTTGATAAACTGCTGCCTACCTTAACCATGGTAGAAATTGGGTGCACCCTTCTTAGGTTCTTCATAACAGTTTCAGCCAAGTCTGCTACAGAGAGACCAATAGCCCATGATGTGTATCCCTTCAGCTTGATTACCTCATAAGCGCTGCAAAGCAAAAGAACTGGCTTTACTGTTTTTAAAAGGAAAACGGTTAAGCAAATCCACTGTGCACCAGAGATAGTGAAACTTCCAAACACTTGAGTGGGATTTTTAAAAAGTGTGTAAATGACTTAAACCTGATTCTAAGTATTAAAACAATAAGTAAGAGTCAAATGATTTTTGGTACACTGTTTTCTCAAATTTTAAATGCTACTGAGAAATATAGTATTTCTTTCCTTATTAGGGAATCATTGTTCATCAAAGACTACATCTCTACTCAACCTCCAGGTAGGCTTAGCAAGTATTAAAACTGCTAGTAGAATTTGCCATGCTGTTACAGCAGTATAAAGAGACTAATTCAGTAGATACCAAGCACTGCGATTATGTGCCATTTAATAGTAAGGCAATTTGTTTGATTGCAAACTAACTTTGCCTCTCTCTGCTGTGCCCCTTCTCTCTCCCTGTCCTCTTTCTTGGTCCTTTATATTTAAAGTTACTTTATTCCTTTCTGTTTAGTACCCCTGCTCCCCAAAAGCTGGTCATAGCATCTGATGAAGTAGGCAAAAGCTCATGCCTTTTTGAACAAGTTAGTCTGTAAGGTGGTAGTGCCCTGTCTTCTGCCTATTGTAAGATTATGGTATTTACCTGTCCACCACCTGCTTGTGAATCTCCTTCCAGTGTTCCTTGTCTGCATCAGTTCCCAACTCAGGGTGCAAAGCCTTCAGGGAAACACCAGCAACATTCACCCCACTCCAGACAGGTACTAGGATAAATACACAAAGCAGTTACCTCACACCATAAAGTATTCTCTCACCCACCAACAAAGTCCCTGTTCTACCCTTCCCAAAATTAAGTCATAGTGTAGACATCAGTCATGGAAGAGCCATCATGGTTTGGATGCATGAATTTCCTTTAGCATTAAAAATTAAGGCTTTTTCAGCATAGCAGTAAGTCTTGTGAACCCAATTCAACTGAGACTAGCAGCCCCAAGTACTGAGCTACTGTTTCTTCATAACAGAATTTGACATCTCAGTGCTAAAACTTGTGTGGTAAGATTTGTTTTTCTAACCAATGGACAGAGACAAGTATCACAAAGGGTCAGGTAGGATAGAACTTTTGAAGTCTGTTTTAGAACCAGACAGTGCTGTTCGACTCAGAGGTATTTATGTTTAAAAAGGAAAAGGTGCTTAACTTTTCCTGGCCTGATCCTGACTTTGCATTTTGACTTCTAAATATAGCTCTTAAGAGGCAAGCAATCAAGCAAGATGCCAGTAAAGACTTGGTGACTGGCATTAAAAGCAGGTCCAATACAGATCTTGGCAGCTAGCATTCTTCAAAAGGAACTTCTCCATCCTGCCCCTCCAATTCCCTGCTGGAGAGCTGTGGGTAGAATTCAGTCTGCAGGATTTAGCCTACTTGAGTTACAGGAATGACCTTTTCCCAGTAGGACCCGCTCAAGTCAAAGATAGATCATCTAGTGTTACTACATGCTATACAAAAAGCTAAGGAAGATAAGGCTTCCTTTCTTGCACTGCCTCTGGGTTAAGGTCTTAATGAGCAGCTTTTTGCAAGATGTTAACATTGATCTATTTCTTGGGAATTTTTTTTGAGACATTATGCACTGCAGTCTCAACTATAAAGGAATATGAAGCTAAAAGACAACAGAGCTTCCAACTCACCACTAGAATCACCGTGCTCTCCAACAATCCATCCGTGACAGCTCAGAGAATGGACGCCCAGTTTTTCTCCCATGAGATAGCGGAAACGGGCAGAATCCAGGTTGCAGCCACTACCAATAACACGATGTTTGGGAAAGCCACTGATCTTCCAGGCCACGTAGGTCAAAATATCCACTGTTAACAGAACAACTGTTTAGGACTTCACCTAGCGAGAAATTCTAACTCCTTGATAGATCAAAGGATATACAAACTGACTCACATAAGGGTCCTATCTGCTGAAGGGAAACTCTTTACTAGATTATGCTGACTGAAGTAACTGTTGTGCTAATAGCCTACTAGATTTACTGGGAAGATCCAAAACTACCTGTTTTAGCTCCAGAACCAAGGCTGTGTAAAAGCAGTACTCGGTGTGTAAGGAAAGCTGACATTTTGAATCTTAATAGTAATCAGTACTACATAAATAACTGATTTTTACAGATGCGATTAAGGGCAAAGTCAAGCTGTAAAGAATGGCATTTCCTTCTGTTCTAAAACAAGGAACTGAAGACTTGTGGTAGGGTGAAGGAAGGCAACTGAGTCATCCTTTTGCTATATTCCTACCTGAAAGAAATACTTGGAGGGAAGTGTTGCCTCGAATACCCAGCCCAGTAAACTCAACTGTATACTTTAAGTTTCCAACCACTGAAGCAGACGTTTCCTGTTCAGCAAGAGGAAGGAAACAAAGGACTGACCTGGATTTGAGACAATGAGCAGTTTGCAGTCAGGGCTGTATTTGACAACATTGGGAATGATGAATTTGAAGATATTCACATTGCGCTGGACCAGGTTAAGGCGACTTTCCCCTTCCTGTTGACGAGCACCAGCTGTGATGATAACCAGCTTGGAGTTTGCAGTCATACTGTAGTCTGCAAAGACAAGGCCAGATGTCAAACTTGGTTCCCTCCCCCTGGAAAAGTGGCTCACATCATGCATGTAGAGTTCCCACCATCTTTTCTATGAGAGAGGCCCTCAAGTTAGAGGCTAATCTTGTGAGTTTGAAGCTACTTTCACGAGTTATCAGATTACTTTTGTGGAAAGTAAGATTTTAAATTGGCATTTGTTTATTATAGCATAAGCATACAGTATTTAACAAGGAGCCTATAACCATGGGATTGGAACGCCTTAATCTTAACATGGTTATCTCCACAATTACCATTTGTGAGGTAAGGAAGTATGTATCATTTGTCCCCAGGAAACCAAGACTTGCCCGAGAACAAGGATGAGATCAAGGAACTGAACTTAAGACTTCAGCAAGACTTGCATTACAGGCTAGCACTTTAACCATTAGGCTATCCTAAAATCAAGGATGTTGTTCCAGTGTAAAGAGGGTCACAGCCTTCTGGAAAGTTTCAAATGCTATAGTTTATAGGAACCCAAGTTTTCTTTGGAAGAGACAAAGTATGCATATTTTCAGGGCTGCCATCAGAAGTAAAATTCATCTTAATAGATGCACTATGGACAGTGGTGCTACATGTTTCTCTGGCAGTGGCTACCTATGGATGGAGTTATGGATGGAAAAATAATTGGGGCATACACGAACATTGACCTTAATCAATCATCATTTGCCACTAAATTTAAAACTGGCATTGGCTATGTGGGGAAGAAGGGAACAGAACTCATGACAGTTGACCTCAAAATGACCGAACAGGAGCACAGAGGCAGCTGAAACAGTTCAAAATGAAGTGTTCTAGCCCAAATGGCCAGCTCCAGTATTCAGTGTTCGGCTAGGCAAATTTTAAGCACGTTATAAATACAAATTTGGCAGCCAGGAACTTGAGAATAGGAATAAGATGAGTACCTGCTCCTCAGTTCTGGGACTGAAAATAAATGTCAAGCACAACACTTAGATGAACAATTGTATTGGAAGGGATGGTCTTCACGTGATATTGTGCTTTTCTTTATAAAAAGAAGAAAAAAAAAGCACAACTACTAACCTTTGCTAGAGACTATTTTTGGCGTCTTTAGAAAAAGGCTGCCATGCTGGAGATCCAGCATCTCTCCTCTCAACTTGTCCTCCACGACATCAACAAGAGCCAGTTCATCAGCCAAATCCTACAGGAAGCCAGAGTTAGAATTAAAAAGGTCAGCCTGTAGTTCACAAATAAACCACTTAATTCAGCAACACAGCAGTGTAAATGTGGTTAAGAGACTGTTGCTGAGCAAGATGTTACTTGTTTAGTTACCTAACTGGAACTTTTACTTTACAGAGCAAAAAATCAAAGTGCTAATATTTAAAGAAGTACTGGATCTTAGTATTTTTATATCCATACTGCACTTAACTGATTGAACTGTCAAATGTGCATACTGGTAAGTGTTCTCATGCATGTTCACCTGAACAAGACAGATTGAAATATGGAGTGTAAATGTACAGTTACCTGTTCATAAACAATCAATCACTATTTCATGGTGATACGAAGCAAGCATGGTGTAAACCACAGCATGCTTAACATGAAACAGTAATTCAGAGCTGTGAACACAGTTCTGATTCAGATCACCCAAAGTTATTTCAGCTAAGGGTTACCTTCTAGTAGTGTGATGTACCGCAGCTAGTGACACGCACATTTACCTTAATCAGGGTCAAGCATTTTCCAATCTGAAATCACTTTCCAGTACATGTAATGAATAACTCAACTTAAGCTTTCCAGACGTATAAAGGTCTAAATTAAATACATTTTGTCTGTTTTAATTAATCAACTCAGGATGGATAATTACGTGAAAGTCAGAAAGAGGAAAAATGAGAATAGATGTTGTTGGATAATCATTTATAATAGTGTTACCTGTTTGCTGGCTTACATATAAGAGAGTTATGAGTCAGAACCTGTGTTCCATGTGGCACACAAGGAAAAAACTGTAGTTTACAAAAGGCATAAACTAGCCAGATAAAGGCAAGGGCCAGAGGAACTACAGAGACTTTGGCCTAAGTGAGGGAGAGCTGAGGTTTGCCACTTACCTTCATCAGGATGCTGACTGCACAAGCCATGCCAACTGCACCAACCCCAACAACAGTAATCTTGTTGTGGGCATGACCATGCTCTTCCTTGTGAACGGTGTGAATCAGATGCTCCTTGACAGACATTGTGTAAAGCTGAAAAGTTTATATTAAGAGCACAGTGTAACTTCTCTTCAGGTATTTGGGATGTTATAAATGTCTACATATGTCTACATAAAGCATGGGCCCTGTTATGATGGGTCCTATTGCTGGGGCTGGCAAGAAAGCAGGCAATGTTCATATGAATAACCTGGTGATATTGCCTGCATAAGAAGATGACTCAAAGCATTAGCTGTGATTGGAAAACAGGCACTGATAAAGTGGTCCGGATATATACCCCAGAGGAGACTGAGGTCTGATAATGAGGTATAACTTACTAGGATAGATTAAAATAAATAAATAATGTCGCTTGAGCAGTTGTCATTCTTCAGTCAAATACCCAGTAGTCAAATGCATGACAAAATGTGTCTTCTGAGTTCCTCATTTGATTGCTAAAAAGATTGTTGGTCTTTTGGTGAGAATCTATTATTGAGTAACTTGATTTAAACTAGTTCCTTTGATTGAATTCTACTATGGCACCCTTTTCTGTGGGGGACTGGTCTCAATTTTTACCTTTTTTAAATTAAATCTGAGAAACTGCTGTTATTTTAGGCAGGTGACAGAGATCCTTGACTGGGAAGAGGGACCTCAAAACTTGCAAGTCTGTGTGTGCTAGGAGAGGTCTCCCTTCCTCCCCTGACAAACATTATGAAAACAAAACCACACCACAAAAGGTGCCTAAAAGTGCTACTATAGTTCCCTCTTTTAAAAAATGTTGAAGTTCTTTTCCAATACACTAAAAATAAATAAATAAATAAAATAAAAGGGGGGTGGGGAGTGAAGGATGCATTTGAAGGGGCTGGCAACAAGGTATTGAGTCTGCCACGGACAGGACACAAACTCAGATTTCTCTGAGTTTAGTAACATCTAGAGTAAAATTTTTGAAAATACTTGTAGTCATTTATGCACTCTTGAACATTTTTACCCTAGCTGTTCTAGATGAAAGGTGTCGCAGCCTCAGGAGCTGCTTCTGTGAAGTTTGTCAATGAAATCACTTATTAGTAGCCATTCTTAAGAAAAGCAAGCATGGAAAGTCACCCCTCTCCAGCATCTCTCTCTGGGTCAGCACTGGGAGATGTGGCTGGCCTAACAAAACTTGTGTGCAGCTGTGCTTCAGCAGATTAAGGAAAAGCAGGAAGGACAGTCTTATCTTCTAGGAATCAGGGAACACTTAATTGGTATGACAGCAGTTTCAATGCATGATCAAAGTGCTTCATCTCTCTGAGCTAGCATAAACTTGCCATTGTTGAGCAAGATGCAAGAGTGGAAGTACTTCACATCCATCCCAGTTGCCATCTCAGTGTTTTCCCTATATTCAGATCCCATCAGATCTCCAGGTTCCCATTTGCTTCTACAGAAAGGGGTGGAGAGGACAGAGTGCTCTCATAGTAGCCAGTCTGCATCCAGTTGGTACTTGCCAACTATCTGAAGGCCAACACTATCCCTCCTCAGTATCTGCTTGTAGGTGTGCCACTATAGTAGCAAGTAAGTATGTACCAGAATGTGTGGCAAGGGTTCTTCCTAGTTCATGGGTTCTGCTTAGTGAAATACCAGGAAATTGCTTTTATTTAATTAGAGTGCACTCCATCAGTGGAAACATTTTATTAGATACGTCTCATACACAAAGCTTGTGAGTCACTTCAGTTTTGGCATGAAATAACTACTTCAGTGCAAATTCTCTGGGGCTGGGACTATTTTGTGTGTGTGTGTAGTGCCAAGCACAGAGGGCCCCCACTGGGATACTAATTAACAGGGAAGCTGGTAATCTTATTTATTTCCTGGTAGGCAGAGTCTACAATTTGAGGCTTTGACACTGTAAATAAATATAATTAATGGATATCTATTACTTCTCTTCTGAAGAAGGCATTCTGATACTTTGGTGATCAGTATGATAAGACTGTAATATAAGTAATAAAAGAATCTAAGTCCATACCTTCTTTAAGGCTTACTCTGAGAGGAAAATGATGCATCAAGCCAGAAGCATCTAATCAGTTGTTAAATAGGGATTCTTAGGAATACTATTCCCCCCAAGCAAAGGGTTATGGACTAGCTAATATTTACAAGGCTACCAAATTCAAGCTGCATTGAGTTATTGAGCATATGCAGTAGGGGCAGAGCCTCCAATTCAGAACTTCCTAGACGTTAAATGCTGGAGGCTGCGAGAGAGAAATGTGGCAAATGCCCTGGTCATGTCCCATTTGCTCTTCCTTTCAGCATCTACTCTCTGCTGCTGTAACACAGGATAAGGGTCAAGGTGGACCTATGAGTTCTTCTATGTTCTTATGTGCACACAGGGGCAATGGAAGATTATGTCAAACACTGAACCTATCCATTTAAGAAGTGGTTCTGCTCCAGGATTTTGGTGTTTTAAGGACGTTTTCATTTTGCAAGATGCAGAGGTTTGTAGAAGCACTTTATAAACCACAAGTTTTTCATCTTAAAGGCCTCTAAACAACAGGGACATCACCCATTATTGATCAGCTCTGGTTTTGGTTCCTAAATATGCCCTGCGGGCACCACTTCTGAAAGCGCTGCACTAAGTGATATCATAAGCTTAGAAAATGCATCTCTCTAGAACATAAAAATTTCCTTTTACTGGGTCAGACCTTAGGTCTGTCTTACCCAGTCTCCTGTGCTGCATGGGGGCAGAGTAGATGCTGAAAGTGAGGGTGAACTGGGTCTGACCAGGGTTCCCCCCACCCCTTTCCCCAGCATTTAAGGTCTAAGAAGCTCTGATTCACAGGCTGTGCCCTTCACTCCCATGCTCAATAGCTACTGATGCCCCTTTCTTCCAAGATTGTATCCTAGCCCTTTTTGAATCTGGCTAAAGCATCAGCTTCCACAGCATCTTGGGGCAAAAGAACTTCCTTTTGTCAGCTGTACGCTTACTGCCGCCTCCTTTCATTTTGACTCCTTTATGGTATGCAAGATGGGGAATGCAGTTCAGACCCAGGCAACAAGAGCACTCAGGCAGTCCTGGCTCCAGTCCCCACTGTCTCAAGCCACAGTTGTTCAGTGCCCTTAGTTTAACCTCAAGGCTATCAATGCATCTCTGTCTCTGAGATCAAACAACCACGTTACATCCGTGCTCTGCTACCAGCAGGCTCCTGCGTGGCTGCATCCGGACTCCGGGGTGCAGAAGGAGGGCACGAAGGTCCGTCCAGCCTCATATCCGGCTCGACTTGCATGGCCTCTCTGCCCTGACTTGTGGCCGGCGCCCCTGGGAGCAGAGCCAGCCTCGGGGAATGTCACCCCACGCTGGGATGAGTCACCCCACCACCCCTGGCCTTCAGCCGAAGTAAATTCCCCCCCTTACCCCTCCCTGGCACCGGATCACGGTGAGTCCAACGGAGATGGGGCAGGAGCAGCCCTGGCTCCTTCCTCGGCTGGGCTCCGAGCAGCAACAGGGCTCTCTCTCCTGCCTTTCCCGCCCCATGATTCACACGGTGGCTGTTGCTGCCGCCTGCAATCGCCGCCCGGGAAGCGGGAGCCCAGCGCAGGGATGGAGGGGGTGCCCGCACAGAGCAAGCCAGGGCCCGGGGGGGGGGGGGGGGG